CTTCTAGTTGGAGTCGGTAAACTTTCTTGAACATGTAATAACCAAGGAAGGGGTAGTTGTGGATCCTTCAAAGGTTGAAGCGGTTATGGAATGGGTCGTGCCCAAGTCGGTTACTGAAATTCGGAGCTTCCTAGGTTTGGCAGGCTATTATCGGAAATTCATTGAGGGATTTTCGAAGTTGGCCCTACCATTGACTAAGCTTACTAGGAAAGGAGAACCGTATGTGTGGACACTTCGTTGCGAAGAAAGCTTTCAAGAGTTGAAACGAAGGTTGACTACGGCGCCAGTGTTGGTTCTTCCTTATATGGATAAGGATTTCAGTGTTTATTGTGATGCTTCCAAGTAAGGTTTGGGTTGTGTACTGATGCAAGAGGGGAAAGTGGTTTCCTATGCTTCTCGTCAGTTAAGAACACACGAGCAGAACTACCCTACGCATGATTTAGAATTGGCTGCAGTGGTCTTCGCTTTGAAAATTTGGAGACACCATCTCTATGGTATAAGGTTTGTGGTGTACAGCGACCACAAGAGTTTGAAATATTTGTTTGATCAAAAGGAGCTGAATATGAGACAGAGGAGATGGATGGAGTTTCTAAAGGACTACGATTTTGGACTACAGTACCACCCAGGGAAGGCTAATGTAGTGGTCGATGCACTCAGTCGGAAATCCTTGCACATGTCAGCTTTGATGGTTAGAGAGGGGAAACTGATCAAGGAGTTCAGGGATATGAACCTAGACGTCCAAATAAGACCTCATAGTATGATATTTTGTATGCTTAAGGTAACGAATGAACTATTTGATCAAATCCGAGTAATGCAAGTTGAGGATAATGAGCTGATGGCCAAACGGGATTTGATGATGAGCGGAAGGGAAACCGACTTCGTAGCGGACTCCAGTGGGATGATGCGTTACAAAGGGAGAGTGTGTGTACCTAGTGATCAGGGGTTACGGAAGAGTATTTTGGAGGAGTCCCATAAGAGCAAGATGAGTTTTCACCCGGGGACAACGAAAATGTACCAAGACTTGAAGAAGTTGTTTTAGTGGTCTGGATTGAAGAGAGACGTGGCGTCATATGTCTCGAGTTGTTTGATATTCCAGAAAGCCAAGATTGAGCATCAACGACCATCAGGAGAGTTACAATCCCTAGAAATTCCTGTTTGGAAGTGGGATAGTATCTCCATGGATTTTGTATCAGGTTTTCCGAAGACTCAGAAGGGATATGACTCGATATGGGTAATAGTGGATCGATTAACTAAGTCTGCTCATTTCTTGCCGATAAACATGAGGTATTCCCTGGAACGATTGGCGGAACTGTATATCCGAGAGATTGTTCGTTTGCATGGGATACCGTCGAGCATTGTGTCGGATAGGGACCCCCGTTTCACTTCAAACTTTTGGATCAGTTTGCAATCCGCTTTGGGAACTAAGTTGAAACTGAGTTCAGCTTACCATCCACAGACGGACGGTCAATCAAAAATGACAATACAGTCATTGGGGGACCTTTTGAGGGCTTGTGTCCTGGAACAACCCGGGAGTTGGGACTACATGTTGCCCCTGATTGAATTCACCTACAACAATAGTCTCCCTTCAAGCATTGGGATGGCACCCTATGAGGCTTTGTATGGTAGGAAGTGTCGAACTCTAGGGAGTTGGTTTGAGACTGGGGAGAACTTGATATTGTGGCCCGAGCTGGTACAGGAGACTACAGAGAAGATCAAGAAAATCTGGTAGAACCTCCACAATTGTCGGAGGCATATCGGATTGCATTACCTCCACTATTGTCGAACCTCCACGATGTATTTCATGTGTCTCAATTAAGGAAATATGTTGGGGATCCATCTCATGTGGTTGAGTCTGACCAGATAGAGTTGAAGGATAATTTGACTTTTACGACGTTGCCCGTGAAAATCATGGATACCAGTTTCAAGAGATTCAGAGGCAACGAGATTGTCTTGGTGAAGGTGTTGAGGAGTCAAGTGGACGAAGGAGACGCTACTTGGGAAGTTGAGCAAGAAATGAGGGAGGACTACCCTCATTTGTTTGAATCGAGGTATGTTTAATTTTCGGGGACAAAAATTCTTATAAGAGGGGGAGGATTGTAACACCCTAAATTTAAGTCTTTAAAATTATAGTATCAGTCCTAAGATTCTCGCTTGAGCGAGAGATTCTCGCCTGGGCGAGGAAGGCTCACCTGGGAGGGTGAAATCCTGGACTATACTGGAGGATTCTCGCTTGAGCGAGAATTGTCTCGCCTGGGCGAGAAATGGCATTTTGGGGCTGTTGAGACTGTGAGATTCTCGCTAATGCGAGAATCCCTCGCTTGAGCGAGAGGGTCAGATCTGAATTTTTAAAATGGACGGGATTTTCTCGCTTGAGTGAGAATGAGCTCGCTTAAGCGAGAACCCGAGGAGAGCATTAAATGAGAGAAACCCCAAATACATTTTTAGGTTAAGAATTGAAGAGATGTGAGAGAAGAGAGCATTCCCAAGGTCTAGGAGCATTCCCAACTCTCTTATTCTCTTGAAAACCCATTTTTGGTATTATGGATCTCTTCTCAAAATGAGAGAAACCATGGAAACTCACCCTTTGGAGTTATGGTTCGTTTTATGTTATTTTTTATCTTGTAAACTCTTGGTATAGAGTTAGGATTTCATGAAAGGAGAGGGTTGGTGGGTTGATTCATGAAAACCCCAAAACCCTAAAGTGAGAATGTGGTTAAAGAAGAAAATGGGTAAAGTGCTAGAGGTAGAAGATGAATATGTATGTTTAGATGTTGTAAACTTATGATGAAAGTAGTTTAGAAACATTGAAAACGTGTTAAATATTTTATATGGTTAAATAATGCAATATAAGTTGTTTATATGATATTTGGAGTAAATGACTAACATTGTGTTATATGGTGGGATGAGGAAAGATCCTGAAGTTGGAGGCGGTGTCGGTGGAACCTACGAAGTCGCCAAAAACCAAACCCAACACTCATCGAGGTAAGGATAAGTCTTTAACTTATGTATTGTGTTAGAAAATGTGTGGATTTTCTGATGTGGATAATGAAATGATATGTGAATCACTTTGTAGTTATAAGCATACGTGGATATGTTTGTAATGATGTCGGGTGTATTTACCGTTTAATATATTGGTGGAGTGCCAATGGAAATAAAACTCGAAATAAAATAATGAATTGTAAATCACTTTGTAATTATAAGCATACGTGGATATGTTTGTAATGATGTCGGGTGTATTTACCGTTTAATATATTGGTGGAGTGCCAAAGGAAATAAAACTCGGATTAAACAATAAATTGTAAGTCACTTTGTAGTTACAGGCATATACGCTATGCTGTAATGATGTCGGGTGCATGTATTGTCCATTTATTGGTGGAGTGCCAATGGAAATAAAACTCAGATAAAACAATAAACTGTAAGTCACTTTGTAGTTATAGGCATATACGCTATGTTGTAATGATGTCGGGTGCAATTATTGTCTATGTATTGGTGGAGTGCCAATGGAAATAAAACTCGGAAACAAAGTAATAAATGGTAAATCACTTAGTCATTACAAACATATATGGGTATGTTTGTAGTGATGACGGGTGGATTTATGGTTTATGTATTGGTGGAGTGCCAATGAAAATAAAACTCGTTTTAGCCGACCATAATGGGTTAGCGACTCTAGCTCGAGTTATGTAGCATGGTTTTTCAAAAGTACAGATGATGAAAATGGTTTTAAGTGGATTTAATTTATATCGTTGTTTAAACCTATTAAATGTGGATTAACTTACATTGAAGTTTTATTGAGTTAATGACTTATTCCTTTGTGTTGTTTGTACATGGTAAATGTTAATCCCATTGCAGGTAGGTGGACGGAGAAAATATGATTTTTGGGTAGGAGATTAGGGACCTTTGTTTTGATGTCTCTTTATCCATTCTTTTGTAACTTTAATTGATTGTAATTGAAGTAACTAATTGTACTATGAATACTATTTTTGTACATGATATTGATCATGGAGACTAGTAATTCGAGATATATGTAGCTATGGGTGTTTTGGAAACCCAAAGCTAATTGTATGCGGTAGTTACTAGGTTATACTAATATGAGTTATGTTTTTCTGCTATCGGACTGTGTATGTACTTTTGGTTCATAGATCGGGTGTGAGGATGGAAAGAAAGATCTTTTAAATAAATTTATTTACTTGGTAATTATGATTTATCGTTAAATGCATGGAATTGGATTAAATAAGGAAAAAATTTCCAGGGTAGAATTTTGGGTCATTACAAACCGAACGTAAATGGTTCCTTAAAAAAATAACCGAACTTGACCACGACACCGAAACGAACCACATTTTATGGTTTGGTTCAGTTCAGTTCCACCAGTTTCGCGGTTTAAACCGGAACCACTTAATCCTCTACATTTATTAACTAGAACATTATTGGATATTAGTTGCCTATATTTATTTATTATTTATCATCCTAATTTGAGCCTTTGAAAGGTCATAACTCATAAGTAAACACAATTGTTGAAATTATTTACACTAGCTTCACAAATCACCCATTCTTCCCTCGCCTTGTTATAGCCAATGACTTCTACTATCGATTCCACCATCAAAACTTATTAGCATATTCTCAATTTCATTTTTTTCCTTTTAACTGTCTTTGTATTCCATTCTACTATACTATTCACAATTTCTTTCCTAATGCTCTTCCCCATAATTAAATTTTTTCTAATTACCAATTCTTCCCTAGGAATAGCCAACTCAAAACCGCGGCCCAATATGGAGGTTTTGGTCCATTAATATCAAACTTAACCTAACCCCTCTTCTAGAAGCATGGCAACTAACATGGTAGGTCAAGATGATAAGCTCAAAACTTGTCACCTGTCAAACCTAAAAAACTAATCAATATTTTATTCATTTATAATAATGATATGATCAGTAGTTTGTTACACCTAAAGTGTATATAATCACATGTAGACCTTAATCAAACCTAAGTTCTACTTCATACTCTAGTTTTATTGAAATGTTAGAGAGTCCGGTTCTACTAGAAGAATACACCTATTTAGAGAAGATCTCGGAGCATGTAAGAACAATACCCATTTTTTCTTTCATGATGATCCCTAATGCATTTTCAATGTTTATCTATATGTTTTCATTTTACAATAATAGGTTTTAGGTTGAGGATTGTGCTAGCATAACACTTTGGGTTTAGAAACAAAATCAAAACGTTATCTCAAATTTTAGATCTCTGTCATTGTTCACTATTGATCACTACTTTGTGAGTTTTCCACATAATCTAAGTTATATTCTACTTGTCTATGGTGATTATGTTATTTCCTCTCATCTTGTCGTTCTTTGTTGTACAATGAGTATTATTTTGATTTGATCTAAGAATTTCTCGATGTTTAATTGATTGCCTCTAACTCTAAGTTATTTAATTGAATGTTGAAATTAATACCTTATTTGTTGTCTCATCTTGAAGATATAAGGTTGATATTATATATATATATATTGGACTTTTATATGATATAACTACTTATACAGAGATCTTATTGTTTCTTTCTCTTTATCTTTGGAAGATGTCAGAAACTAATATCATATCATCTAACTCAATAAATACACATAACTCAAATCATTTAAGGCACTATTATATTTGTTTTGGTTTCAAACCGTTTCGTGGAAATACTATAGTCAATCATCCACATAACGAGTTGACACACCAAAGCCAAGATAACCTAAGGGTATTGCTCGCCTAGGTTTCGTAATTATTTTGTGATTATGGTGCATTTGGTTTTTAATAATTTATTTTCTTAACATTGATGGACATGTTCTCTGAAGCACATTACTTTATGACATTTTCTTGCCTGCAAGTAAAACAATGTTTTATATTGCTATAGGAAAGATAAGAAAAAGCCATAAAATAATGTCTCTAATAGCATGCCTACCGATATAAAGAAAAGATAAATTATTAGAATAAAAATGGACTATCATCATTATAATCTAAAAACCTGTGGATAATCCCAATAAGGAAATAATATGGGTTTTGGAATGGCCAGCTTCTTTTGTGGGTCATTGACTATGGTATCTTCAGGTAACGGTTTGGAATCAAACAAATACAATAAAGCTTAAAATTTATAAGAAAAAAGCTCTAATTTCTTTCTGAATTATCTATGTGCATGTGTAGAGTTACCTATCATGCTGTCACTTTTTCACATGTCTATTAAAGAAAAAGAGACAAACAAAAAGACCATGTTGGTTCATCTCTCTTTACATGGTCATGTTATACGAAAAACCAGCATATAAGAGAAGTTTCCTTAACTTTTTAATTGATGACAACAAATTTTCCATTTATTTTCCTCTCCATTAAAGATTCATGTCAATACAAACTAACATTATAGTTTATCTTGCCACCAGGATCCAATTTCTGAAGTGCGTTAACACCTCCATTAGTGCTGCAGAAGAATTGCAAGCAAAATCTATAAGCCCAAAAACTCACATAGGATCTTCTATTTAGACAAGAGGTCAATTATTGTTTTTAATAAAGAATTTTAAGTTAGAAGTAAGAGTAGCTTCTTTCATCATGCTTATGCAAGTAAATAAGAAATTAAAAAAATGGAATAATCCAATCAAGTTTAATAAATTTAACACTAGAACTAATCAGCCTATTGGAGAAATTGTCCTTTATACCATAAAAACCAAACAAAAAAAAAATAGTGTTAATTTTTTTGTTTAATTTTAGGGATGTTGTACGGGCTCGAGGTCCAGGATGGAGTGAATTGGACTTAGGTAATTTTTTTAAAAATTTCTTTTCAACAAGGTTTCGTTGATATATTTGAAAGAGTTTTATATCATGAAGTTTGTAACTAAAATGCAAGTTCGCTTATGAAAATTATCAAACACATTGCATGCAATACTGAACTAATATCTATAAATCAATGAATTCAATGAATTTAAGAAATGTGACTATAATAATTCAATCCACAATTAGTAACATATATATATATATAAATGTAATTTAAAATTGGTAATATACGTTATAGTTTAGTAACATTTATATCAATTAGTAAAATATGTAATAGGTACTATAACATTACAGTTCACAATTAGTAGGAATGTGATCGAGGTCGTACCCAATGCAAATAATATAACAATTAAAGTGTAGTACAATGAAGTGACTCTTAGGTCGTCTCCAACGATTATCTTTCAGACAATGGTTCAAACACCTTACACTCACACACAGGGGGATTTTTTGATGTTATAATATGACTATTAGCTAAAATAGAACATAAACAATAACAAGCAGTAAAGTGGCTAAATCTCTTAGGTTTCTTTGTTCACAACTCAATTTTTGGTTCCAAAAGATCAAATCCAGATTCTATGTGATCTTTTATTGAGAGTCGATTAACTAAGGGATGATCAATTCACAGTTAAATTGCTAAACCTCTAACTAAGCGAAATTAACATAAGCAACAAACACTTAAGAAATTCACACGAATCAAAGGATCAATTTCAGCTTCTAAATAGTTAATTCCCAATATGTTGAGAATTAATTAACTAAGCAATAATCAATTCATAACTCTAATGTATAAGTTTCAAACTAAGCGAAATCAACATAAACACATAACATTTAATAGATTCACATAAACTAAGCGATTATGTGCTAGAAAACTAATTGACTAAGCAAAAATCAGTACACAAACCAAAATCAAAACCATGGAATTAAGCAAACCATAATCTGAAATATGATTGAAGATTCAAAATGAACAAACCAAAAATTGCATTAGAAATAAAGAGAAACCAAAAATGCTTTGAGCACTAAACCTCAAGAGTTTTGATACATTACCAAAGGAGGGAACCAGAATTGTAATCTATTCTATGTAATGTTGTCTAATGTCTAAGTTCTAATCACATGTGAAACCGAATTTGTAAGGGTAAAAACGAAATGGTCCCTAAACATTGGACCCAAAACCCAGACGGAATTAAAACATATATAATCTTCTATTAACTCATTTCACTTGTAATGTCCAAAATGTCCATGGTGCCAATTATGATCTGAAAATGAAATTAGGTTTAATTAGGCTAAATAATCTCAAATTAACTCATTTCAGGAATAACAGTTCAATAAAGCCTAAAACACTTAACCATGCTAAATAAAGTCAATTAGACACCAAGAATTATTAACAATTATAAAATAAGGTTATGAACAGTGTGTAATATATGACTAGCCAGAGGGGGAAATGGGGCGGGTCGGGTTTGTGCTTACCCAACCCCGAACCCGAAATCCAAAACCTAAACCCGAACCCGAATTTTGCGGGGTTAAAAAAATGGTATCATCCCTGAACCCATCGGATTTCAGGTAACCCAAAGTCGATGAAATTCCGCCCGAAAAATATAGCTCTATATATGTAGGTTCTATATATATATATATATATATATTTCTGTATAATTTTATAATTTTACATATAATAATCAAGGTCGGGATAGGGTATCAACTTTACCAAACCCAAACACAAAAGTTGAATTCGAGTAAAACCTGAACTCGAACCCAATCACATCGGTTTTCCGTTAAATCTGAGTTGGTTCGGGGGTACACGCCAGTTCAGTTTTCATTGTCATCTCTAACAATTAGTAACACATATAACAATACATGTATAACAATTTATGTTATATGTTAATTTCAAACTTAATACCACAAAAGTTAGAAAATATGTTTCAAATCTTCAAACACTCGGAATCAATGTAGTAAGTAATAACATACATAACATTAATATAATAACAATTTAGTAACATATATAACATTACAATTCACATAAAATTGATAATTTAAGCCATAAATATAACATCTTCCCTAATATTTATTTCTTTAATATGTAGGTTAGTTCGGTTCCAACTGTTTCTAAATTTCTAAAACCATGTACCGAACCGAACATAAATGGTTCCTTAAAAAAATAACCGAACCGGACCACGACACCGAAACGAACCACATTTTGTGGTTTGGTTTAGTTGAATTCCACCAGTTCCACGGTTTAAACCGAAACCGCTTAATCCTCTACATTTATTATCTAGAACATTATTGGAACTTGGTTGCCTATATTTATTTATTATTTATCTTCCTAATTTGAGTCTTTGAAAGATCATAACTCATAAGTAAACAATTGTTGAAATTATTTACACTAGCCACCATCAAAACTTAATAGCATATTCTCAATTTCATTTTTTTTTGTATTTACTGTCTTTTTATTCCATTCTACTATACTATTCACAATTTCTAGGTAACTCATTGTTCAATTAGATAACATGTTATACAGACCTAGTAAACTGTTATTCAGTGTAACACAATCCAAGTAATATGTTACCTAGGTGTAGTAATATGTTACTCAGGTCAACTAACTCGTTACTTAGCATTTTGAAAATTGATTTATTTTGCCTAAGAGTTTCCCAATGATTTTCAAAATAGTTTTAATATTTCTTGAGCATTGCTACTAAACATAATTAGAGCATAAGGATAGAAGTACATATTGAAGACTTATACTCTATTTTATCTAAAAACATGATCTTCTTTGTCTTTACAGTCTTCTTCCTTTTTCTTCTTTTTGTGTTCTTGGCGTCTTCGTCAAAATGTGTCAAGGTCAAATGCAAGATCCTGTCCACAATCTCCTCCTTTTTGATGATGACAAACCAACATCGTTTTGAAAGTGGAGTTTTCTTCTGAGATTTTCATCATACTTTTACCTAACCTAGACTCAATCTAAGTAAGCATTTTACGACTTCTATAAATTATAAAAGTTTTCCCCCAAGACTGTGATGTTCTTGAGTCTTGTCATGTTCTTTGTATAATCATCTTTAGCTTCAAGCTTTCCTAAAATCATTGTCTTCATCAAAACCATATGAGTTGATCATACTTGCAACCTTTGACTCCTATTGCAATTTCACAAGTTGTTCCGATTTAAACTGCTTAACCGGTAAAATCGAAACCAAACTACAAATTGTGGTTCCGTTCAGTTTTACAGTTTGGTTTGGTTATTTTTTTAGGAACCATTTATGTTTGGTTCGTTTCATGGTTTTAGAAATTTAGGAAACGTTGGAACCAAATCACATATTAAAGAAATAAATACTAGAGAATAAGGTTGTATTGTTGCTTGAATTCTTCAACCAATTTCATGGCTTAAATTATCAATTTTGTGTGAATCGTAATGTTATATATGTTACTACTTACTAAATTGTTATATATATACAAATGTGTGCTACTTTCCCACTGTCATGATGTTTTGGAACATATCTTCTAATTTTCGTGGTGCTGGATTTGAAACTATCATATACCATAAATTGTTATTCATGTATTCTATGTCTGTTACTAATTGGTAATTGTAATGTTATATATATTACTAATTAATGTATATATATATATATATATATGTTACTAAATTGTTTTATATGTTACTAATCGTGAACTGAACCGAAGGAAACCAAACCGTTCATGAGTGATTCGTTTCATGCAATAAAATTTACGATTAATTAAGGTGAAGTGAACCATGTCTTTGTGTTTAGTTCGGTTACTGAATTGCATAAAAACCCGAAGTGAGGAAAACTCCCACACTAGATTTAGGAATTGTGGAAACAAACATTAGGCGTGGAACTGTTTGCAGAGATGTATGTGTGAGATGGAGCTATGAGAATAAGATTATCAAAAGGCATTAGACGCTTTAGAGTCAGAGATCCCTTAAAGTTAACATGATTAGAATCTTTGTGATTTTATAAAACTAGGAATTATTATTTGGAAATTGAGAGACATTAATAAAGTTTTTGGTGATTGCAGGGACTAAAAGAAAGCTTTGCAGAGATACATGAATAATATGATGCACATGGTAATTAAAATATGTATTGCCACTGAAAATTTTGTAGAAAAATATATTATTTTCTTTATTTTTATTCATGTAAATGGGCTATCGTCCAAAGTGGTTATGATGGAAATCTTGTCTTGTTGGGGAAGATGCTACGCCATTTGGACAAAGAAGATGTTGATGGATATGCACTTCGAAACCTCCAAAGCGTGTGTTACCACACTAACCTTTAGGTTCGATTCACCCCTACCAATCTAAGTATATTGGATGCAAATGGAATGAACAACGAATCCCCTTCAGGATACTTTGGAAACCTTGATGTGATTTGCACAAGCACAACAAGCGTATCTCTTAATAGTATTTTATAAATTTATGTTTCTCACAATTCTCTCGTGCATTAGAGAAGTGAAGCATGATTTCTAGGCTTGAATTTTCATATGTTGATTATGGCTTGGAGGGTCTCTATTTATAGATAAACTCATACCACTTGGTGGAATAGAGCACATTTGAATTTTTCATTAGCTGCTCTGAATGGTTATATGCCAAAACGTCAGGAATGAAACGAAATGTCATATAGCCCAAACGGTAGGCACATTGTTTGGCAACAGGGGTGCCCCAGTTCGTCCGTTTTTAATTTATACGCATTTAAATAACATGTATATATACAATAATCGTTCTTTATAAACCATGGCTTAACTGTGTAGCTTAGTGGTAGATATACTTCCTTAGCCTATTTTCATGCCCTTGCTCGATTCCTACTTTTTGCACATTCTTATTTTAAGGATTGAACCCAAGACTAAAAACTCAACTCCAAAAGTCACTGTCATGCTCCAGAATATGTATCATATGGAGATATCATATGTAAATACTCCTTATGCGAAATTAGATATTTTTGAAATATCTTTCACAGGTTAGTCATGCTCCAGAATCTGCAAACCATACTAAAGATAGGATTGTTCATTCATGACC